CGATATGATTGGCTTCACTTTAACAAGGTGCACAGACGATGAGATGTCCACTGTCCTGTCCCTCAAATACAAGCCCGACCTCGAACCCACGGTTTCCAAGTTGTAGATCCGACTCATGGCTGCGAGAGAGTTGGGAAGAGGCGGCGAAGGAGAGAGAGATTGTGTAGAATCGAGAGGTGATGTGTATTCTTCTACCTCCTCCTCGGAGAGCTCCTTTCCTTCCTCCTCCTCCTGTTCTTCTTCTGTGCTTGCGTTTCGGCCCCAGTCGCGCCTTTGCGGCTCTTCTACATGTTTCACTGGGTCGTCCTCATCCTCAGATATCTGGAGGGCTTCGGAGGTAGCTTCGGAGGCCCTGGCGGTACACTCGCTTGTCACTTCCTCTCCTCTGACAGTTTGTGACAGTAGGACAGAAACAGGAAGCTGAGGGCAGGTTTTCAACACGCCGACTTCCTGCGTGACGTCAAACGCAGCCGCGGATGTCTGCGCCGCTGCTTCTTCCTGTCCCTGCTCTGTTTCGGCCGGCCTCTTCTGCATGTGTGCTGTAGCTTCCCACTGTTTTTCTATTTCAGTTCCCCTCTCCTCGTACCTGTCCCCCGCTGTCTGAGTAGCACTAATCTCTGCAGCTTCACTCCCTTCACCCTGTCGCTGTTTCTCCAGCTCTCTCTGTCTGATTTTCTCTCGCAGAGACTCTATGCGGCTTAAGGGCTTCCCAATCCTCCAGCTATCCCTCCTCTCGACCTGTCGACCTCCATGACGGTCTTGCCCCTCGCTGCGTTGACACCCGGGCTTTATTTTCTCCACCACTTCTTCTGCAACATAAAACACAGTCCTGGGAATCTGAATCTCCACGGGGCCTGGAGGGTTCCCGGTGAGTGCGCTCCTTTTCGGAGATCTGGGGGTCGAATCATAACTGAGGTTTTCTGATCCTGCTGCTTGCACCTCCTCTTTGCTGTCTTTGTTGCTATAAAAGGTTGTGTCTCCTATTTCTTCTATTTTACTTATTAGATCCTCAGTATGTGGGGATAAAACAGACTGTGTTAGGTAAGGTCCTTGTAGTCTCCAGTCTGCACCTTTATGGAGGGCTCTGTCTGGAATTGTAGAGCCTAAACTGGAGCACTCAGTAAAAGCCAAATCATGTCTGCAGTGACTCTCAGCATCAACGTTGCTTGTTTCGGGTGAGCTCTCTAGTCCATCTTCTCTTTGAGAATCTGTTTTCTCACAAACTTTCACCTCAATCTCTCCCCCTCCCTCTGAATCTTTGTCTACATTCACCTCCCTTTCTAAACTCTTTTCACCTGCCGGTCGCTTCACCTCTCTGTCAGCTCTTGCTTTCCCATCCTGCCTAATCGGCACTCTCCTAGCAAATGATATTCCCTCCGTGTTTTTAACTGAGGCCACCGTGAACCCCACATCCCCGTCTGCATCGCCGACCTTCTCCGCGGCCCTCCTGTCAACAAACTCTACTTTCTTAAGCTGTATACCAAAGTCTTCGGTTTTTACTCTGTGCTTTCCAAATCTGTCTCTCTCTAGAAGTCGTGCACACCCCATCTTCGCTGTGGTTTCCCTCCTTAAGGCAGCTACATCTACCCATGGTGCCACGCTCTCTGAGTGAATCCTCTCACGAATTTTTCTCTCGTAAAACCCTTCGTCACCTATCCCATTCTCCTTAGCGCAGATGACTCGATCGGAGAAGCTAAACGAGCGTTTTGGGACACCTTTTAGCAGCGTATTCTTTCCATCTGCCTTCCTCTCCTCGGACTGCTGCTCATCCTGATCTCCTGAGTATTTTCTCCTCCCTGGCTCAAGGAAATTATCGGAGCTTTTGGATCGGGATGGAGGCTTGGGGTGCTCTCCGAATTTACTCAGCAGCTGACTGACCCTCCCTCCTCTCTCCACAAAAACATTATCATCCAAGCTGTCCTTTCTGCTGTCTTTATTAATAACTGTTGCCTGGCCCCATGGTTTCTCCTTTTCTTTCTCTCTCAGCCAGGACACATCTGTTCTCAGCTCCCTGCCTATGCTCTCCCTTCTTGCATCCATGCTGCCCTTCATCTCCCCATCCTCTCTCCCTTTCCCCCCTGCACTCCTCTCTTCAGGGCAGGTTGAGGGCTTTATAATAAGAACTTCAGAGGCTCGGATCTCAGTGACACTCCCTCCTCCAGCCAGAATCTCCCTTAGGTCCATCTTCACCCCTTTCTTCCCCGGCTGGTCCTCCTCGAGCTTCTCCCGCTCTGCCTTCCTCCATCTACCCTTTCTCTCATTGCTGCCCTTCCTGTCCTGCTCGATGATGATGATATTGTCAGCTCTGATGGTCCGAAGACACGGAATAAGAGGGGAAAGCGAAGAAGTGGGTGAAGGGGTTTCTTTTTCCTCTGTGTCTTTTCTAACTTTAAGAAATTCCTGCTCCCTGACTGCATCCTTAACCAACTCCTTCAGCTGGCTTTTTTCCTTTTCACACCCCTCCCTGCTATTCTCTCTTTCTCTTCCTTGACTCCTATCCCTGCTCCTGTCTTTTTCCCTCCCCTCACTCAAGTCCCTAAACCTCTCTTTTTTCAGCTCTATATCTCGTCCTCTCCCCAGCTCCCCATCTTGACTCCTGGGGCTTAATTTATCTCTCTCCTTAACTTCTGGCTCGTTCCCTGTTTCTCCATCCCTGCTCTTCCTCCATGCACTCTGCGTGAGAATAAATGGATTTTCATGGACTGGAACTATTGTTTCTACAGACACCTGGCTCACTGGTTTGGGATCTGCATCCAGCCACTGGCCTGGATCTGGACTGAGCGACAGTTCGCTTCCCAGATTAACTGTTACGAAGCTGTCTGTGTCACTCAGACCATCAGAAGGAGATATGACATCCACTTGCAGCAGACAGCCGTCTCTCTCCTTCTCCCTGTCACCCACATACTCCTGCTTCGCCTTCCTTCTCTGGATGATCCCTCGCTTCCAAGCTGGCATGCTGGCAAACTTCTCCTCCTCCTCTTTTTCCCTCCTCTCTCGCTCCTCCTCTTCTCTCCTCTTTTTCTCCAGAAGGAGTTGTTTCCATTCTGGCAGAGAGGAAACAGACATAACAGAAAAGGTGCCCACTTTTGGATAAAACGGTTCCTCTTCAGAGCCTCTGGGAATCCTCTGCAAAGAATAAAATATTATCAATTTTCTTTCTAATAAACATGCAAAAATAGAAGTTTTGCCACATAAAGCCGAGGAACAACTACACCTCATGGTAACATGTTAGCAGGTTTGATTTACATCCAAGTAGGCATTAAAGCACACGTTTGACAGTGCAGTCTATTTATCTGTTCATGTTAAAGGATAATAAAATAGCACATGTAATCGAATTAACTCGCAGCACATAATGCATAACCTCAGTTGTAACATATTTAATGAAAATTCTGAATACAACTCACCCAAACTCTTGTTTTGGCAAAAATATCACTGCATCCACCCCGACTTTACATCTCCACTTGTGCGTAAAGCAGTCTACTCCACCATGGAAAACCTCCTTTGCCTGTAACGAACAGATTAATCTGTCCTGTCAAAACCCAACTTTTAAAAATGATCAGTGACCCAGTCAAACGATATCGGGACCTGAGTGGACATCAGAGCAGAAAAACCTCCGTCCTCCGTGCGGTTGTAAATATTTCCAGCTCGAGAGCTGCAGCGCTCTAATCCGATAATTACATTCAATTCCCTCTGGAGAGTTTAGTGGCACACACCATATTGTCGGACCTAAGAAAAGGCGTTTAAAGCACACAGCCGTCTGCCCGGCCACCTACCAGCCCTCCCCCGCCTTTGCTCACCCCCGCGTCCCGCAGGGTTAATTGGTAAAGCGGTGGAGGTGGAGGGCGGTGAAACGGGATGTGGTGTCAGCATGCAGAGCTGCAGCGGGACTTGATTGAAGCAGATCAAACACGATCAGCTCCACTGACAGAGGTGTGTACCCCAAACTACCGGAATATCTTCATTGCTGATTATTCGCATTTTTATTTTTAAAAATTATTTTCTAGCGTCTCTGATGTAGAAAACATACAGTCAAAAATGTTATTCATGTTTATTCATATTCATAAACACGAGAGCGTTTAGATGGATTAGAAACTTTCCCCTAATTACAAAAATCCCTCAGGTGTACCCAATAAGTTGGCCAGTGAGCATATATATCGATCTATACCCTGTAAAATAAAATAAAAACAACAACAAAAAAACATCTTCTGGCTCGGTTATTAAAGCTGTAGTTCATCTGTGATATATCAGCTTTAAAGTTAAATAAAAACAAACAAACAATTTAAATCAAACATCTGCTCCTTAAACTCTTAAAACTTGACTCATAAAAATAAAAAATAAACCTAAAAAAAGACACAATTTACCAGGACAAGTGAACTTTCCACTTTTATTGAACATGTTTTTAAAAATACTGAAAGCTGTCACGGTAATTACAGTAAGGCACACATGGGGAAAACATTAGTGTAAAAAAACATACCAAATGAGACATTACAGAATCCACTAATACTAATACTGGCTGCCTTGATAATACCTTATTTATCAAGCATGATAAACGTTAAAAGTAGTTTGTTCGATAGGTTCAGCTTCACGTCTTTAAACAATCGGTTTGATCTCACCATCGAGGAAAAGCTTTGAAGGAGATACATTCATTGTAGCAGAAACATTGTCACTTTGTTCTGTCACAGAGCAGAAAAAGAAAAAAGCTTTTACCAGTGTAAAATCTCAGTGAAACGTCGGTTTTCAAAGGAAAGATAAACCTGAAATTAGCTTCCAGAGAAACACAGTGTTAATGTACTTGTCTTGGGCACTGTAACAGCCAGTAAGACTATACAGTAAAACAATTTCATGTATTAAAAAATATTCAGTATAAAAATGTTTCAACCTAATTGTATCAAAATTAGTAGTTTTAAGAAAAGTGACACCTCTGTACGAGCAGGGGGGGGGGGTTTTTTTTTCCCCGGTTGGCTTAACTTTTATTAAATTCCTTTTGAATTGCCAAATTCAGCAGACATCAGGCTCAAGAGGCCTATAGAAACTCTTTTGTAGTCAGTTTTAAAACATTATTTATGACAGATTCAGATCAAAGCACTGGGACGACCTCTGCTTCACTTCTTCTTGTGGTCGTCAGTGTCCTCGTTGGGCGTGGCGTCGACGCTGCCTCCGTGTGGCTGCGCAAAGAGCTGCATCTTACTGTTGAGCTGCACGCACAGGTAGGCTAAATCCTGTTTGTCCAGAGAGTGCGCCAGAGCCAGGTAGGCCGACAGAGCCCCCGCCAGCAGGAGCCTGTCCAGGGATAAGGCCGGCAAGAGCCACAGCACCACACCCAGCTCCAGGCACACCGGGTGGCGCAGGTGGGACAGGAGGCGCTGGGCACAGGGCGACTTGTGAGAGAGGGGGTCCCCCAATCCGAGACAGTCGTAATACACCTGAGGGAGGAGGTTAGTCAGTAAATGGAGTTTATTCATGCCCATACACACGCTCTCCTCCGGGAGCACCGAAGTTACTGATCTAAGTAATGCAGATTACTTGGGTCAGTATTGTAATCTCTATTGATTTATTAAAAGGGCATTTCATTAAAATGTAATTATAAGATGGTGGTGGAAAGGGTCAGAGTCATTAAATACGGAGTTAGGCCCAGAGCACCAGGTGACAGGTGAAACATATAGATGTTAATAACCGCTGGTTTTCAAAAATTATCAAAATGTGTGCACCAAGGCAATACTGGCACCACACTAGCATTGGTTTACTGGAGGAGAGCCTTTACATTTGGGGACGGAGGTTCAGTTCTCACTGCAGTAAAATCTTTCAGTCCTGCTCAGCCACAACAGTGAAAACTCTGATTAGGGTTGTGATTCATACTGATGGGTGCTGAAAATTAAAACCTTGAAATTCCTCCCCATGTGATGCTCAGTTTGAACTTCAGCAGGTCAGCTGCTCATGTCTACATGCCTACAAGCACTGAGCTGCCATGTGATTGGCTGATTAGATATTTTTGTTATTGACCAGTTGAAAAGCTGTACCTAATGAAACGGCCAGGGAGCATATGTGCAGTAAATATCCATTTGCTTCTTGTTGTTTAACAGCACGAGATTTTATAGTGGTGTTAATTAATTATTTTAAGGAACACCAACTAACCAAGCAGTAATCAACAAAATACTATGATTACAGCAAACTGTAATCATAGTATTTTTAGTTGAGCAACCTCTGATTTTCCAGCATCTGAAAGCACAAACATGTGCATTTGTTTTTGATCCCTACCTGCTTGATGCCCAGTAGTTCTGGGTAATCAAAGATCATGAGGATGCTGCAGATGATGGCCCAACAGAGGAAGTGCAGCGAGAAGCAGAGCAGGGGGAACCAGACACTCCAGGGTGCCTGACGCACTGACCACAGGCAGGGGGCGTTAGTCACAGGCTGCCAGTACCGCATCAAGATCTAACACAGGAAACAGAGCAATGATGCACACTGAAAGGTGTGATTAACACTAAGGTAGGAGTAAGTTATGCTTCTATGTGACAGTAAACACTCAGAGAAAGGGTGCTGCTGTACCTGGAGGGCGAGTGCTGTGGTGAAGCAGTATGCTGTCCTGTTGAGGGGCCCCAGCACTGACTGCAGGGCCTGTTTGACAGGCAGCCAGGCCAGCAGGCTGTGCTGCACGATGAAGAGGGCCAGGAGCCCCAGATCCACAGCAAGAGCCCTCAGAACAGAGCTGTCCCGCAGGGCCACCGACCATGGTATGGAGTCTTAGCCGTGGGGAATCAGAGGAAAAAACATCACTTTAAAATTGACGGCAATCCTAATAACATAATTACTGTTAATAAGCACTCATTGAAAATGCCACAAAAAAACAAAAAACAAAACAGAAAATCGAACGTTACCACGAATAGCTAATTAATCTAATTAACAAACCCAGTATTCCTGCTCACCCGAAATCAGCTTTCAAACACTCGCCATTTGGTCGATATTTGATATTGGCGATAAGCAAATTATGCTTTTAAGCCCGTAATGATAATTTTTGTTTTAGTAAACAGAATAAAATAGCCCTAATAATAAAAACAGCTCTAAAAAAAACATAAGGAAAAAAAAATCTCACCGCCCAACGTGGGGCTCGAACCCACGACCCTGAGATTAAGAGTCTCATGCTCTACCGACTGAGCTAGCCGGGCGCTGGTACTAAACAGCCGCCCAGTGGTATTTACAGCACATATGGAGAACGTAATAATTGAACTATATGACGTATATGAATTTAACATTCGTTAAATCATACTTATATAAACCTATACAGTAATTTTTTCCATAGCCAAAAAGTATATGAGGTATTTAACGGTTTTACAGATATCGCCTCCACCAGTGTTTGGTAATCGCTCCTGGCCGCCTGCCGCTTACGGGAACTTACCTCGACAGAGTGTCGTCTCCCCCGTGATGTTATGGTAAATGGCTCGAAACGAGACAAATCGAATGAGATCTGCACCGGATATGAAAACAAACGCAAAGTTTAGCAAAGACGTAGTGCAGAGAGCCAAGCCACGTACCGTGACTGACGCCATTATCAGTGCTTATCGCGAACAGTTCCGGGAGATGGGAGGTGGTTGTAGTACCCGATGTAGACACAAGGTGGTGCTAGTGTGCGGCGAATGCTGCCTACAGGTGGAGGTGCATCAGAGGAGACACAGATCCACACACAAAACTAAGGAGAAACAAATAGCAGGAGTGGATGACTTTATTAGGGTATCTTATTAAGTATCACAGAATCTGTCTTTGTTAAATGAGGTTAACACCAGGCCTGTAGCACTCTACATGGTAGTTTCTGTCACAGGATGTCACTCGAATAGACTCTGTGGATCCCTGAAAAAAAAGAGATAACAAAGCACTCAGAGTGCTTCTTTGTGAAATCATTTGCTGTGAATTGAATTATCAAATATTTTGCATAGTTTCTGTGAAGCTCACTTCTGTTGGGAGTATCGGCAACCTGCAGGCAGCACAGTGGGGAGCCTGGACCCTGAAACCGTGAAGAAGTTTCAGTGAAAGTTCACAGAGGTTAAAACATGAAGTCAACAAAGGTGTGAGTTTTCTCCTGTTCAGCCTGTCTGGCAGGGTTTCCCCCTTTGCTCTTGAAAAGGACTATTGTTACTACATAAAACACCCACCTGTGGTAGTCGCTGACACAGTAGATCCTGCGGTGTGAGTCGACAGCGAAAGGCTGATCCTCCAGGCTCTGTCTGCAGACGACACAGCGAAAGCAGGATGGGTGGTAGGGTTTCCCACGAGCCTGCAGGATCTGATCATCCAATGTAATGTCAGTTTCTTGCATGTGACACCACACATATACTCACAGTGCTTAGAAAAAGTATTTGACCCCTTCCTGGTTTCTTAATTTTCTTTGCACATTTGTCACATTTACATGTTTCAGATCATCGAACAAATTCTAGTATTAGTCAAAGATAACCTGAGTAAAACATTTCTATGTGTGTGCCTGTGTGTGCCTGAGTGTAAAAAAATTAAATGAACTTAGTTTTCCCAAATAAATGTTGTCAAATGTAGGGCAGGCAAGGTTGAACAGCTTTTAATCTGTTAATAAATGAAAAGGTAATTTAAAAACTGCATATTTATTTGGTGTATCGTTTTCTAATATTAAAATGTATTTGATGATCTGAAACATGTGTGCGTGACAAATATAGAAAAAAAAGCTAAGATCAGGAAGGGGGGAAATGCTTTTTCACAGTACTGTTTAAGTAAATAAATTAATAGTTACCACATCTGTGATTAAAAAGCCACAGCTGTTACACACTTCAGGGGATGGATGAACTCCAGAGAACTGCAGAAAATACCACAAGTACCAGGAAAACACCACCACCCAAATAGATTAGGCAATAAAGTTAATCTGTCATTTTACAACCTATTAAAAGAACATACTTACCAAAAAGTCATCGTCACAATATATCATCCCTGACACTGTGTAGAAAGGCTTGCCACTGAGCGTTTTACCTGAAAACATGCAAAAGCTTAAATATGTAGACCGTTATACATCACACTGTACTATCAGAGAAGCATTCACACGAGGAGAGCTCACTGCAAACGCTGCAGATGAAGCACGCGCTGTGGAATAAACGTCCCATCGCCTGACACACTCGACCTGCTCTGTAGACAGCTTGACTGCATCTCGTACAAGTTCCTGAATAAACATGAAGAATAAATGGAACAACTGGCAGCACATCTGAATAATAAAAGGCTAATCCGCCAAAAAAAAAGTGAATATTAAGTCTTTTCCATTCTTACCAAAGTAAACACTGTCACTGTAACTGGGATTCATCTCAGCACCAGTTTGCCCACTGCTCTGAGTCTGCAGCACGGCTGTCTGGAGGTCTAATTTTATGTGCAGTGCAGACAGCTGTAAGAGGAGCTGCTCGTTGGGTTTATGAGAATTTGCTCTCTGCCTTTGCTCTCTGAAGGGCAAAATCTTAAGAAATGACTCCTCCGAGGCGGCTGAAAAACTTTAGACAGAAAGTAGTTTTGTGTGAACGAAAACACAAATAAACGAGTAAAAGTACTTCAATTTTGTACTTATACAGTATTTAAGTAGCTGTTTAATGTTTTTAAAAGTGTCTAATGGTGGAGTACATATTAGAAAAAGAATAAGTGCCGTTTTTTAGGTTTTTTAGGTTTTTCTGTTGCAGCTACTGTGAGAACTTTCAGCTCTAAGCAGCTTTCTATTTAAAAACTGTATTCTCGGGTAAGCTAAGAGATGAAATGTGTCAGAGCAGCAGAGGAAGGAGCCTGAAGGTGAAAAAGAACCTGCAGCACATTCAGCCTACCACAGCACTCACATTGTGACGATGCTGGTTTAAACACCTGACTCCTCCATGTTTATACGGCAAAAACTATAAGCTACAAGATAAAAACAGCCATTCATACTAACAATGTGTGAATACTGGATAATGGATGTTGAATATGGAGTGAAGGAGGACATGCAAAGAGTTGGTGTTATTGTAGGATGTGAGGGTAGGCAAAATTCCCATCAGTCTTATTGATAATTATAATTATTATTATTATATTTTAACACTCACAGGAACTCCTTTTACTTTAAACCTGCTGGTTAAAAAAATCTCCACTTTTACTCAGATAAGAATAGAATAGAATAGAATAGAATAGAATAGAATAGAATAAACCTTTATTATCCCACGGATGAGAAGATTTCGGTGTTACACAGCTCTTATAGCAAGGGGAACACAAGATATAGAAGGAAGACACAAAGTGGACCTATATACATAAGCAACTGAAGTTCGTATATACAGGTAACAATGTACAGAAATATGTATAAAATATAAAAAACATGTATAAAATGTGCAGTGAACAAACAAGCTGGTGATGGTAAGATGACCCTTTAAGGATGTTAAAGGAAAGCTGAGAGTTTCAGCACTTCTTAATGGATTTCCTTTTTAATCAAAAACTGAAAATAAGAAAAGAAATAAATAAGAATGTTTTTATATGAGTAATCTAAATATTTAGAAACTGGAAAAAATACAAATATCTTCAGAAACAACTTCAGAGCTCAACTTTTAAGTGAATCCAAAAGAATAAAGTACTACAGTACATGCCTGAGTCTTATATTTTGGCAGCCTAAATGTGCATTTTTAAATATTGAGGAGGAGCAGTGAAGCCTTTTCTGGGATCATCTGTCTTGTGATACTGCCCTCATGTGGAAGCCTTAGGACCTTCCTCTCATAAGTCGGTCACTAAAACCAGACACGCCCAAAGAGCCAGAAATACCTGCACCAGGTAAACAGCGACTGGTTGTAACTGAACAATAGAGATCTGTTTGTTTGTTTTTTAAGTGGCTCTTTACACTTATTAACCTTTAATATTTGGTCCTTAATCCTCCTCTTTTATTTTAAAGTCTTTAATCTTTCCAATTGACAATGACAGCTTGTTATTATATTGTAAGTGTATTACAGCAGGTCATTTAAAGTTGCTTGCGTGTCTCCATTAGCTTCCACGCAGAGAGGATAAAGAACAGAAACTCATGCAGCTCGTGTTTTGGATCTACGGTTACAGTTGGAGCATGGGAGGGATGGAGGGAGGGGGCGTCTGACAGCTGCTGATTCCTCACTGAGGTCCTCTTGTGAAGCTGTCTGCTTCCATCACAACGCCCACTCTCCTAGCTGTCAGACTGGTTCACCAAAAAACTTGCATGTCGTTTGTATGTTGGTTGCGCGCGCGTGTGTGTACTGTTTTTTAAAAACTTTGTGTAATCCAGTGTGTTGTCATGATGTAGAGGTTTGGGTTCATATACGTCAAAAATGCCTGAAGGTTGAATTCAGGAATTTTGACTCAAATAGCAGTACCTGGATGTGTGTTTGTGAGCTGTCTAGCCCTCAGGTATGTTTCTGTGCAGGAATGTCTGCGTCACGAGGCGTGTGGAGGCAGGAGGCAGTCTCTGCAACTGCGGGAGTGCTGTGCAGAAGCTGTCTTACGCACAGTTAATCACATTTCCATCTCCATTTTACAAAATGGAAATTCCAGCTGACCAGGAACATTCTGATTTATGCCTGTTTTGCTTCTCACTAATATTCCTTCTGAAGCTTTAATATTTCTAATCATTCAGACTACTTCTGTCTATCAGTATATTTATCAGCTATGATGCAACGAGGTTTGCTTATGCTCTGGGCTCTGCTTCCACACCCTTCGTCTGCCACATTTTGGGGGGTTACACAGCACGATGCCAACAATCTTTGGCATGTTTGGCTGCTTATAAATAGGGCGCTCATTGTCCCACACAGTGCAAGGGAAGTCAGAAGAGGACCCGCGTCTTAATCTAAGAGTCCGGACTGCGTGCGCTATCGCTGCAGTGTTCCTGCTTAAAGGCACAGCGGCAGGGCCTGCTCTTCCTGTCAAGTTTGGACAGGTACTCTACCTGCGGTCCACGCCCTCTTCTGTGCCGCTGCGCGCAAGTGTTCGTGAGCAGGAAGTGGCTGTCAGCGACGCTGCTGCTGTTGTTGTAACGTTTGGAAATGCAGCTGTAAGCTGTATCTGAAAGAGAGGCGGCGATTTTAGATTATCTTTTTAACTTACAAAAACAATCATTTAAAATAATTTTGCTTTTATTTTATTTATTTTTTATTATTATTTTGAGGACATGCGGCTCTGCAGGACCTGCGCTCTCCTGGCGCTTCTGTTTCTGGCAGTCTTGGATTCATCAGGTGAGGGGGAAAAACGACCTCATTCAGTATTTTGTGTTGTTTGTTGAATCTACGTGCATCTTCAAAACAAAACACGAAACGTCCTCGTGTCAAAAGCGTGGCTTCTTTTCGCGTTCGTGCGCCAAATGGGTCAAAAACACAGCTGAGAGGAGCGAGCGCTGAGCTGCTGTAAAGATGCACTCAAGCGAAGCTGTGCTTAAAGCTCCGTGTCAATAAATGATAGGATAATAACGAGCATTAAAGGCAGCTCAGACATGACTGAGGCTGGAGCGCGTTTCCACTCATAGCTCCCACTTCCAGACCTCCATTTTCAAAAAGGTTTATGAGGCATTTATGGAGCTTGCTGGAGGCATGAATTCATCACGACTTCATTAATGATTGACCAAC